AAACTGGGGACTTTACACATAACATCATCTATAACCTAACTGGGGACTTAACACATAACATCATCTATAACCTAACTGGGAACTTAACACATAACATCATCTATAACCTAACTGGGGACTTAACACATAACATCATCTATATCCTAACTGGGGACTTAACACATAACATCATCTATAACCTAACTGGGGACTTAACACATAACATCATCTATTACCAAACTGGGGACTTAACACATAACATCATCTACCATATTTATTCCAGTAAACGCCCTGGGGGCGTGAAATTTTTCAGACCGGGGGGCGATTAATAGAACACAAAATTTCATAATTTGTTGGTTGTGACATGCCATGGCTTCCACTTAAAAACATTGTATAACAAACTAACGAATTACTCGGCAAAGAATGCATTTGAAAATTGCAGTAATTCCAACATCGTTGTAGCTTTAAACATTGTTGTCAACTGCATTCTGATAACCTGAATTCTTGTATGAAATGACACGATGTCTATCGTGTCAGCTTCAGTCAAAACTGACAATGTTCATCATCGCTTGTAGGCCTAGTTTGCATAACAAAATAAAAAAACACAGCGGTATATAAGCCAGTCTGTTTCTTAATAAATCCCACATACCTGATAACAATGTCTGGGACAAAACGAAATTACGACACTGTTTTCAAGCTTAAAGTAATCGCCTTCGCAGAGGAGAAGGGTAAACATGCCACCGCGAAAGTGTTTCGTGTTGACAGAAAACGAGTGCAGGACTGGTGTCAAAACAAAAAAAAATTAAAAAATCTTTCTCAAACATCTAAACGCTGTAAAGGAGGTGGGAGGCATGTCAGATATGAAGATATTGACAAAAATTTGATGAGATGGCTACAGGACACACGGGAGGCCGGAATATGAGTGACTGCGAAAGCATTGCGGTTTGAGGCCCTGCGTATGCATAAGGCAAATGGTAGTCAATCGTTCAAAGCCTTATATGGATGGTTTTCTAAATTCAAAAATAAACATAACAGGCGATCTACGCATGTGGCACAACATGAAGTTTCATTAATTGATGATCGTATTGACAGTTTTTTTTTAATTTCGTGTACGAGAATACCCCGATAGCCATATCGCTAACATGGACAAAACCCTGGTGTGGTTTGACATGCCAAGAAAATCGACATTGGCAATAAAGGGGGAAAAGGAGGTCAAGAGTTTACAGTACTGGCCACGAAAAACAAAAAAATAACGGTGACACTGGCAGCATATGCCGATGGGACTAAAATCACCCCCCTTGTGTACATGCCAGGCATTCGTCCCCTTCCGAAAGATGACATACCAAGTGGTATTGTGGTATACATGTGCGGGGCCGGACAAAAATCCTGGGCAAACGAGGAAAGTATAAAATTTTGGTTAAAAAAACAAGTGGGGGGCGTTTATTAGAGACGGGGCGTTTATTGGAATAAATACGGTATAACCTAACTGGGGACTTAATACATAGCATCATCTATAACCTAACTGGGGACTAAACACTTAACCTCATCTATAACCTAACCGGGGACTTAACACATAACATCATCTATAACCAAACTGGGGACTTAACACATAACATCATCTATAACCAAACTGGGGACATTCATTCATACTGAAAAAAAAGTAACCAGTGACTTCACATGTAACGTTCTCTGTAACTGAAATAGGGACATACATGTATATGTACTTAAGTGATAAGCATAGGAGTTGACTATATAGTTTTCTATATCCACCATGTACAAGTAAATAGGAAGAAACTAGAGAGATCGGAATCATATACATGTAGAAAACATGATACAAAAAGCACGGCTAAAATATAAAGGCGACATGATATAAAGTGACTGTGGCAGGTGATAAAGGCGTCTTAAAAAACAAAAACGGGGTTATACTTAGTTTTCAAGAATAGCAAAATATTTCTCCTTATAGCCAATATAGCAAGAGATTTCAAATTTCAAAGAGTGTTGACGCAAGAAGGGGGCAGTGTTTTTCAGAGGAGTCAGCTATTATTGAAAATGGGTCACTTCAGGATATCAGAGGCATTCAGTATGACCATAGATCCACCTTAATTAAAATCGACAGATCGCATTGCATCCAGCACATGCTAACATTTACCCGTTTTGTTGTGATAACATAACTTGTGATTTTCCTCATGAATATGCATTTCATGAAGGAATTAATTAGATTATTTCAGAGATATCTCTGCTATGGATTCAATTCCAGTTTTGAAACTTTGTGCATGTCTAAATGGGCACATTATCACTCTGCATTCATTAAAATTCAAGTGAAGAAAAATGCTTCCCTCTGAGGTACACAGCCATTTTAGATTCACATAGTTCTGTTTGTATACAAACCTTTCACTGTCAGTAAAGTTTTGAGTTGACTTGAACAGACTGCTGAAGTTTGATTGACTAATGAATTAAGATCTTACTGCTTATGTGTATTACAGGCTTTCCTAAGAAGTTTATGTGGCAAAAACAAAAGAGCCAAGGTCCTTACAGATGGTGCAATTATAAACATAATGGACAAGAAATTCATCTTTAATTATCCAGGTAAATGAAAGGAGATTTTTACTGCAATTCAGGTAATTCTAGGTTGTCAAAGGAGACAGGTTTACTGTTCTGAAATAAGTGTGCGAGTTCCCGAAAAGCCAAATCAAAAGCCAAAGACGCTGACCTTGTGACCTTGACTTTGAACTTTGACTTTTAAAAAAACAACTTTAACCTTGGTCATATATTCTGAACCCTAAGAGGAAAGGCTTTCATATTTAATTTGTTTGTTCCTTGTAAGAAAACCTTTCCATTGGTACCAGAATTTTGACCTTGTGACCTGACTTTGACCTTTGACCTGCTTTTCAAAAACTTTAATCTTGACTGTATCTTCTTAACCCTAAGGGGAAGGGCTATTATATTTCATATGTGTATTCCTTGTGATAAGATCTTTCTATTGGTACCAAAAGTTTTAATAAATGTAGCACCTATTGAAGGTCTAGTTCACATCCAGTGTCAAATTCTCAACAGGCAGGACACAAGTTTGTTAAACATTTACACTTAACTAGAGTTTCTCAAAACTTTTTGCAGAAGATGATAGTGAGGAAGAGCAAAATGATGAAGATGAAATGGAGAAAGAACAGTAGAATGTACCACAATCATACAATAATGCTGATGATGAAACGGAGAAACAGCTATTCGCAGATGATGATGAAGATTACATTGCAGATAGTGACTCCAGTCAGTAAGTAAAGTTTGCCTGGACATTGCATGATGATTTACATATAATACAGTAATATGGTAATGAACTGTGCATGTACATGCATTCCCTTTTACAAAAACTCTAACAAATGTTCTTCTGTTTTAAAATTCATTATTACATCTGCTTATCATAGCTCTTGGAGACAAATGTCTGTGTAACAGAGGTCATTATTTACTTCAATACCTCCACTAGGATTCGAACCAGGGATCCCTGGCTTACTAGTCTGACGCTCACCCAATCGAACTAAAGAGAAGTTCTCCCTAGCTGAGTGGTATATTGCGGCTGGTATTTTAAAGGGTTACACACTCCCCCTCCAGGAAATAGCTCTTCCTCGAGTTTTCAGGGGTTACAATGATGCTGATGGGGCATGGCTAAGTATTATTCCAGAGTCCCTACATGGGCGCCAATGTAACAGAGGTCATTATTTATTTCAATGCCTCCACAAGTATTTGAACCCAGGACCCCTGGCTTACTAGTCTGACGCTCAACTGATCTCCCTGGCTGAGTGGTATATTGCAGCTAATATTTTCCAGGGTTACATCTGGAAAGCTGTTGTCATATATCTGGTGTAGGCGGCAGGGGCTTCTGTCTGTACGAATGGTTTCATATGGTTTTTATCTTGTATAGTCATAGTATAGTCATACAATGAGACTTTTCAGCTCACAGGGACGAATGTCTGGAGAGCTAATGTCACAGAACTAGGGTCAGCGTCTGTTAGCACTGGCATCTGGCATAAACAAAAACTTTAACTTTGGTCATATCTTTTGAATCATAAGAGGTAGGGCTTTGATATGTCACAGGACCTTTCTGTTGATTTCATTTTTTTTAACATGTGACCTTGACTGTAACCTTTAACCTATTTTTAAAAAATTAACCATTTTCATAATTTTTGCTGGATTCATAATAAACTTCAACCTTTTGACCTTGAAGTTTGACCTACCTTCAAAAGCAACCCCATGCTAGGCAAAAGCACCCACCAGCGAGCTCCGTTGTCTTCGGACGACTTTTGTTGAAAATCTGTTACCTTATATAGCTGTTGAGTCTAATTTGACTCAACAAGCTCTGTTGTCTTCTGGTAACCTTTTTATTATGACCTGGAAACAAAGTAAGGGGGCATCTAGTTTTTGGTTAGTTCTTCTGTCAATTTGTTTGTCTATAAAACTTTTAAACCTTGGTCATAACTTTATATCCATAAGTGGTTGGGTTTTTTTTTTATTTTACGTGTGTAAAACCCTTTTGGTTGATGTCAAAATCTTTGTACTACTGATCTTGACCTTAATCTTTGACTTAAGCTTTAATATTGGTTGTATCTTTTGAACTATAAGAGGTGAGAGTTTTCATGTGTATTCCTTGAGACAACACCTTCCCATTGGTACCAATTATCTGACCTTTTGACCATGATTTTTGACCTACTTATTCATTTTCTGTGAAACTTGTTGCCATACAGGGGCATCAGTAGTTCACAAACACATGTTATTGAAGTAGAAAGATGTTGATTTTACCTTTGCCGTGTATTCAAGTAGACTGTGTCTGTGCATTTTAGAAACTTTGTTAATACTTCACTGATCACTGTAATGTTATTGAGAAAATAATTGAAATTTTTCCTTCAGTCTTGCAACTGCGTTAGAAACATGAATTAACTTCTGTGATATCCTGTTGGACAATTTACCTCTTCCTCTAATCATAAGTCTCCTAATAGTTCTCTTATTCTTTCTTAAAAAGGGAAACAGACAGTATGGAAGATGATACAGACTTGGAAGACGATGAATTTCATGAAAGGTCCAAGAAAATCTCAAAAGATCTCAATGTTTCCAAGAGGACAGGATCATCCAAGAAATTCTCTGATCTCCATGTTTCAAAAAGGCCAGTTGAGGATGACAATGAAAGTGCAACAATACCTGTGCCCCCCACATCAGATACTGTTTGTGTTCAATCCACTCACTCTTTGGAAGGAAAACAGAAATGGGATAAAAGACATGCATGCAATTTGCCTGCTGAGAGTGATGATGAAAGTGTTGTGATACCTATGTCCTCCACATCAGATGCTCTACATGTTCAAACCACTCATTCTTTTGAAGGAAAACAGAAATGGGATAAAAGACATGCATGCAAATACTGTGAAAATCTCTATCCAAAGATAGCAATGCACCTTGAAACAGTGCATAGTGATGAAGAAGATGTTGCAAGAGCTCTTGCCTTACCAAAACATTCAGGAGAAAGGAAAGATGCATGGGCACAGATTCGAAATGAAGGAAACTGGGAGCACAATTTTGAAGTTCTCAAATCAGGGAAAGGAACTCTTATTCCTAAATACAGAGAAAAAGAAGATGGTAAGCCTATCTCTAACTATATTCCATGCACAGGGTGTAAAGCATTATTTTCTAAGAAATCTTTGCATGAACATAGGAGATTATGCAAAGCAAATTCCTCCAACAAACGAGGCCAAGGAGGAAAAGAGGGAAAGATGCTGTTGCCTCTGCCAAAGAATGTAGGTGAAAGTTTTTACAAGAGGGTCATACTGTCCATGGTTAATGATGACGTGTTCTCTGTTGTTACCAGTGACTCATTGATAATGGATTTTGGAAAGAGGCTATTTGACAACAAAGACATTCAAGAGCACACGCCTAATCATATAAATGTCAGAATGAGGGAGTTCGGCAGACTTGTCTTGGGAACCAGAAAACTTCCTTCACCCATCTTCAGTTGGGAAGATTGTCTGAATCCTCTCAATTTTTATACCATTGTTTCTTGTGTGAAATCTCTAGCAGGATTTAATGAAGATACCCATTTCTACACCACACCCTCATTAGCTTTAAAGGTAGGATACAGCCTTCAACGGTGTGCTAAAATTCTGGAGTCTAATGGTATTACAGAAAAAAATCAGAGTAAGAAAGAAAATGGTGAAAATGTTCTTAAGCTGTACTCCTCCAATTGGAATGATTTGATTTCTTCGCGTGCCAGGCAGACACAAGAAGAAAAGAAGTACATTGCACCGAAAATGCTGCCTCTGAGTCAAGATGTTTACATGTTGACTGGATTCTTGAAATCAAAGATGAGGACCATGAGGCAGCACCTCGTAGATGATATTTCCATCTATTTTGAGCTGTTAAAAGTAACTCTTTGCCTGGTTACACTATTTAATAGGAAATGTGGTGGAGATGTCCAAAGAATTACCGTAGCAACCTATAAACATGCACTAAAGATGCAGAACAGCTTGTTATTTGACAATGAGGTCAGGTCGTCTTTCTACACTTGAAAGAGCACTTAGTTCATCAATGACTCGCATTGAAATAAAAGGAAGGCAAGAGAGAAAGGTTGCAATCATTTTAACAAAGGATATGCTTTGGTGTATCAACCTTCTGTTAGAGAAGAGGGAGGAGGCAAGTGTTGTTGGAAAATATGTATTTTCCAGGAAATCACCTTCCACAAGGACATACAGAGCAAGAGATGTATTGCGAGAAATGTATTTGAAGGTCAATCTCAAGTATGCAGACCTGATCACGTATACAAATTTGCGAAAACACATTGCCACTATGGCCCAGGTACATGAACTGAGCGAAAATGGACAGGACCAGCTAGCCAAGTTTTTGGGTCATGATATACGCATACACAGAGAAATATACAGACAGCCTCTGGACTTGGTCCAAAAAACAAAAATTACCAAGATGTTACTTAGAGTAAATGAAGGGCTAGATATAGAGAAAATGACTTACAATAAGGAAGGTAAGTCACAGATATATTACTTTACATCTAATAAATTGTCTTAATCTTTCCATTGGTAACTTATTACTGGTATACCCTTACAAAGTTTTGGGGGGTAGGATTATATAGGAATCATTCTGTCTGTCTTTCCCTCTGTCCGTGTTCAGTTAATTTCTCTTAATCAAAAGTATAAGAGGCAGGGCTTTCATTTTACATACACTTATCCATCTGGACTCAAGCTACAGATTAAGATAGTGACTGTTCACCAAATGATCTTGACCTTGAACTTTGACCTTTGAAAATTTTTGGTTAAGAAGTTCCCGTAAGCTACTTTCTGTTATAGTATAAAAGGTAGAGCTTTCATAATCACTTATCCATCATGACATGAGTTACAATTTTATACCATGACTTTTGACCAAATGACCTTTACCTTGAAATTTGATAGGATTTTGAAAATTTGGTTCAGAAGGTCTGTAAGCTGCTTTCTCTTAAAGTATAACAGGTAGAATTTTGATATAACATACACTTATCCATCATGACATGGGCTACAATTTTATACCATGAAATTCAAATGACTTTAACCTTGAACTTCAACAGGATTTTGAAAATTGGTTAAGACATTCTGTAAGCTACTTTCTCTTAAAGTATGAGAGGTAAGGCTTTCATATTATATAAATTTAACCATCATGACAGGAGCTACAATTTTTATACCATGACTTTTGACCTTGAACTTTGACTGGATTTTGAAAAGTTGGTAAAGAAGTTCTGTAAGCTATTTTCTCTAAAGCAAAAAGAATAAGGCTTTCATATTACAAACATATAGCTGCCAGCAGAGGGTATTAGTATTTACGCCTTATTCTTGTCAAACTTAGAAACAGTGGCCATGACTAGTAGATAACCTTATTGATTTCTAGTTCAAAAGGTCAAAGGCGAAGGTCATTTGACCAAGGTTAAACATCAAGGTTAACCACTACCTTACCAGGTCTGCTTAGTGACAAGTATGCTAAAATCAATAGGCAATGTATGTAATTGTATTATTAAATTGAAAGAAATTCAAACAAAGCTTAAATTGAGCTTTTGTGGTAGTGTCATACATTGTCCGGTTTTACTGAATATGCTTAAACTTAATATAAGGAACAAATGCTGGAGTTTTTCTAAATTCTATATCATTCAAATTTCAACTGTATGTCCATTCAATCAACAAATATGGCCTATGATTTGCTGACACATATTTGAGTACTACATGCTTACTTCTGGTATTTCATTGAAACTTGGTGGGGGCAAATAGTCTAAGTCCTTAGCAAAATTGTATCAGTGGCTGTAATTGATTAGCAATAAGAAAAGCTACCCTGACCATTGATTTGGCAAAACATTTTTAACAATATCAGTTTTCTGGTTTCTAATTGCAGAATAAAGAGTGTGTGAAGTCCCCATTTCAGAACTTCATTTCAGTGTATGTCTTCAGTTCTGATTACAGAACAAGTAGTGTGTGAAGTCCCCATTTCCTTCATTTCATTGCAGCGTATGTCCCCAGTTCATATTACCGAATAAGTAATGTGTGAAGTCCCCATTTCAGAACTTCATTTCAAGTTATGTCCCCAGTTCTGATTACAGAATAAGTAGTGTGTAGAAGTCCCCATTTCCGTCATTTCATTGCAGTGTATGTCCCCAGTTCATATTACCGAATAAGTAATGTGTGAAGTCCCCATTTCAGAACTTCATTTCAAGTTATGTCCCCAGTTCTGATTACAGAACAAGTAATGTTAAGTGCCCGTTTCAGTGCTACAGTTAAGTTCTTTTATTTCAGTGAAAAATAATAAACAGAAAGCAAGCCTTGAAGGTTCTCAACTCAAAACCTAGTTTTGTTTTTTCACCAAATTTTTTCATCAACGTACAAATTTTACCGTAGCCTCAGGGTGTGTCATGACCTAGACACAAGGTCATTTGGTCCAGGTTACAATGGACTGGTGTTTAAAAAAACCTTGTTTGGGCCATAACTCAGATACCCCTCCATGAAACTGGATCCTACTTCATTATATGTTGTTGCCCATGAACAAAGGTCAGAGGTCAAAGTCACAATGTCATGTAACAGGAAAAATGGTTTTGTAGCATATCTTGTGCTGGTTTAAACAGGGTATTTGTTGGCTCATCAAGGTCAGGTGAGCAATATAGGCTCACTTGGGACTCTTCTTTCAGTGGACAAACCTTTAATTTATAGAAAGTTGTTTAATCTATCATTTCTCTTTGTTACACAGAGGAGATCGAGATTGAAAATGACCAGGATAGGGGAGATGATGATAATGACAGTATTTCTGAAGATGACAGTGCTACTGAACAGTCTGATGCACATCCTGTTGAAGGTTATTTTTTCATGCTTTTCGTTCTTTTTTTTTTTTTTTTTTTAGGTCATGAGTTTCCTGCATATTCCATAGCTGGTATATTTAAGTTACACACATTGTTTGAGCCTTTTGCTATGATAATGTTACATTTTTATGAAGCTTTAATATTTAATGAAATATCTTATTAATTTTAAGGTCACAAGTTCAAGGTCAGTGGAACTTTGTCAAACCTTATACACAAATATAATTGATGACTCAAACTGGTGTCATTACTTTGATCAAATGTCACATAGCCTAAATGAAGATCACCATGATGATCCAGTAGGTTTAGGTTTAGTTAGGCTGTTTCTAGTAATATTGTAATGATAAAGAGTTATGTCTGCATTAAAACATAAAAAGTGTTTTGACTGTATTGCAGTTCCAAAGGCCATATCTTTGCAAAAGAAAACATCAGAAAAGCATGTAAGAGTATGACGAAGTGAGTCCAAACTTGTTGTTAATCGCAGGCCATGGTCAGAGCAGGAGAAAGAGGCCATAAACAGAGAATTTGGACATTTCATTCAGATGCTAAAGGTGACAGGAAAGGGAGATATAGACCTAGTTCTCAAAAAAGAAAAGTGTTTGTCAAAGCGAACATGGAGGAATGTTAAGGACGCTGTGCACAACATCATCATGAAAAAGAAAAAGTGTTGGTCAGGCTATTATGTCTCCCCTTGTCCAGAAGGGAGACATATTGTTTTTGTACGAGTTTCTTCTTCTTCTTCTTCTTGTTCTCATTCTTCTTCTCCAATAATTTCATGTCCGAAGCATAACTCTTTCCATAATTGAGATAGGATGATGATATTTGATATACATGTTCATGACTGAAAGACGGTGTGTCGCGTACAAAAATTAGGGGCAAGGCCCCTTTTGTGACAGAGTTATTGCCCTTTGTAAAGAAAACTTGTTCGGAGCATAACTCTCTTCGTAATTGATATAGCATGATGAAATTTGGTATACATGTTCATGACCTAAAGACGGTTTGTCAAGTGCAAAAATTAGGGGCCATGACCCTTTTATAACAGAGTTATTGCCCTTTTTAAAAAAACTTGTTCGGAGCGTAACTCTCCTCATAACTGAGATAGGATGATGATATTTGATATACATGTTCATGACTTAAAAGACGGTGTGTCACATACAAATATTGATGGCCATGGCCCTAAGTCATATTAGATTAAGCACAAATGGAACGGTTTGACATCTGCTTCTGAATTAGCCAAAATTTTATGATTACTAATGAAATATTGCACTTACTGTGTTTATATGTACTGTGGTATTCATTGTTGATGGTGATGGAGACATTGGAATTTGTTTATGCATGTATTATTGTATGACAGTCTGTCAGTCTGACTACCTCAATGGAACAGCTTATTACTTGAGGCAAATGTGTCACATTGTGACATGTCCTTGACACAAGGTCATGCCATCAATGCCAAGATCACTGTAGATTTGGATGAAATGTTCTTGTCTGGTCTGTATTTCTTACATAACTTGATGGAACAGATTCATACTTAATACTTATATTATCCATGATGTGTCAGTGGCCTTGACCTTGACCCAAGGTCATGCTTCAGAATTATGGTCCCAACAAACCTTGATAAGATTTTGAAAACTTAACACAACAGGTGTATTATTAGCTCACCTGGTCCTGCATCCGTTGTCCGTCTGTCCATCAACATTTGACTTCTTCTCTTGAACCGACAATCGGAATTTCATCATATTTGGCAGAAAGTATCCCCAGGTCGTTGGGATTCAGATTTATTCAAATGATTAGGCTGACCCCCCGGGGGCCTGAGGGGCAGGGCTAAAAAGGGTCAGATTGGCTATATTCATATAATTGACTTCTTCTCTGGAAGCTATGCTTGGAATTTGCTCATATTTGGCAGAAAGTATTCTCAGGTTGCTGGGATTCAGATTTGTACAAATGATTGGACTGACATCCTGGGGGCCTGAGGGGCGGGGCTAAAAAGGGTCAAATTGGCTATATTTATATAATTGACTTCTTCTCTGGGACCACTGTAGTAAATTCAAATAAATTTTGTAGGACATATCCCTAGGTGGTTGGGATTCAGATTGATACAAATGATGGGGCTGACCCCAGGGGCCTGAGGGGTGGGGCCAAAAGGAGTCAAATTGGCTATGTTGATAACTTCAACTTTTTATCTAGAACTGCTAT